GAGAGAGAGAGAGAGAGAGAGAGAGAGAGAGAGAGAGAGAGAGAGAGAGAGAGAGAGAGAGAGAGAGAGAGAGACACTGTCTCTCTCTCTCTCACACACACACACACACAACCTCCTGATCACCCGGAAACAGTCTGCCACGGTCATCTTTTTTTTGAGTGTGTGGCGAATATGACGACAAAAAAAATAATAATAATAAAAAACCCGAGCTGTGTATCAACAACAGCCCCGCCCCCCTGTTCGTCTCTCTCCTCTGCCGCAGCGTGGCTGCGGCGGGTCTACTTGTTTCTTTTAATTTAACAAGTCGGACGCACCGCAGCGAAGCCCCAGGCCTGAGGCGGGGATGAGATAACATGCGAAGAAGGGCCATGTCACCGGGCCCATGGCATAGTGAACCCAGACAGCTAATTCAACAAACGAAAACAAACAAAAAGAACAACGCTAAGCCAAACCCGAAGGCACCAGCCAGTCCTCACAGTGAAGATTAGCATGGCCCCTGCGGACGGATGACACACACAAATCAAGAGACGATCCACTTTTTTACTTATTTCTGGACGGAACTTCGGCCAGATGCATATAATTCCGGCTGTAAATGCGGTCGGGTACATTTACGATACTGGTAGCATAAGTACGCCCTCAGTTGGTACACCCCTCCCCCGAACCGTTCCAACTCCACCGGAAGCAGACGAGCAAAATACCATACCACAATTCGCCAACGGCCCGCCTAGCTCAGTTGTACACCCCCCCTGAACTGTTGAAATATGAATCAGACGAGTTCTAACCCAGATACCATCGGTCCGGCGTCGGAATACGATCATTCTGGATTGCCTGGCACCGGTCAGGGCAAACACACACACACACAAAAACGAAAAAGAGGGTTTGTTATCGGGTGGACATCTGGCGAGCAGCGGGGCCAGGGCCTTCGCTGCACGACTCTCCAAATGCAAAAAAAGTCAAAAAAGAAATGGGCGGTGTATCTTTCCATTCCATGTCCTAGAGGACGATTCATTGAGTCTCGCCGCATGGAACACGAAACGAAAACGAAACGAGTGCATCTGCCCACGAAGGGTGGCAAATACACTCGTTACTATCTATAGCAAACCGATGAACCTGGCCATTTTCTGGGGGAACATACATTCATTTCGTTTTTCGTTTCATGTGCCGTGCCGTGCGGCAACACCCATTCTCATGATAACATAGAAAACGTGGAAAGATACACCGCCAACTTACTTTTTGTCTTTTGTGCATCTGGAGAGTCGAGCAGCAAAGGCCCTGGCACACGAATGAATCCTCCTCTGGAACATGGAAAGATACATCAGCAAACATTCTTTTTGTCTTTTGTGCATGTGGGGAGGGTCGTGGAGCGAAGGCCCTGACCCTGCCACGCCCTACTGCGCGCCAAGAAACGACAAAAGAAAAAGAGAAGGCGAAACCATTGGGACTTCTGAAAGAAACGAATCCTCCTCTAGAACATGAAAAGAGACATCGCCAAACTTCTTTTGTCTTTTGTGCATGTGGAGAGTAGCGGGTGAGGCTTCGAATGACCACTTCCAACACCGCGTCTACCATGCTCTGTACTTGTATACAAACATGGGCAGCAGCCAGCCGCCCGAGTAGCGATTTCTGCTGGACCCGCCCTAGCTCCGGTCCCGAACGTTTTCCTAAGGCTGTAAGTCGGGCCTCGTGGGGGCATCCCGTGAGACCCGGTGCTTCTTTTAAGCCCAACCAATTAAATTACCTGTCAAATCTGGAAAGGAGTCGAGGACATCCTTTCAGGCCTTTTTATAATCACTAGATGACCTGGTGCAGCTTCGCTCGCAAAAAAAAATGGAGGGCAAAAAGCAATAACGTGAAAGGGGGGATTTGTGGGGGGGCGGGCGGGGGAGAGGGGGCGGGGTCGGGGGGGATTTGGCTCACCTGTGTACTCCTGTTGACTCAGTCGATGCATTGCCGCTGGAGGTCAGAAAGCCTTCGAAAAACGGTTATTGTTTTCTGTATTTTTTTTGCTTTCTACACTTGCACGGGAGTTACCTCTGAGAGACCTGTTGAAGCTGAAGGGTTTGGTGGGTTTGCCGGGGGGGAAACATATACTACACTTGAATGTGCTGGAGGGGGGGGGGGCATAGTTAGATTGGGGACACTCTCTCTCTCTCTCTCTCTCTCTCTCTCTCTCTCTCTCTCTCTCTCTCTCTCTCTCTCTCTCTCTCTC